AAATTTTAAGGCTTCATTTTTCCAAGAGTATCAAAGTTTTTAATACTAAATATTTACTGGAGATTATTTATTGATCAGATATTGTGTTGCAATAATAAAAATTTTACTACCTTATACAGAGTGTCCAAAAATTTATATTAAATAATTACTAGCTTTAAACGGCAATAACTTGTTTAATTTAAATGGCACACCCCATATATTTTACATGAATCACATGCACAATGTAATTGTCTGTCAGATTGTATTATACCATTTTTTACCTATCTCTGCAAGTTATATCTTAATATCTGATCAATAAATTAACGTCAGTAAATATTTAGTATTAAAAACTTTCATACCCTTGGAGAAATGAAGCCTTAAAATTTTTACTGCAATTTCATAAAATTGAAAATATTTAAAAAACGGTAAGGTTTAAGTGTGATAAACCTTAATCAAATTTACCTTTATTTCAATCGTAGAATCCAAAAATAATATACAGGGTGTTCCATTTAAAAAAATACAACTATAATATTTTTTACTTATTTGGTACACTCTGTATCTTGTAAAAATATTTTTAAATTGTAGCTCTAATAGTCCTTCAACGAACCTAAAACTTACAATTTATAAAAATCTAATCGTTTAGCTACAATATTCCGTGTCGGATGTGGTGAACAACCCTGTATAAGGCAATTTTAACAGTTGTTATGGAAAAAATAATTATTCCTATTCGAATCCTGTAGTCTAAAGCTTGATTTTCATGCATCCGTTGTCCGACGATACGATGATACGATATTCATTTTATTGGTTGAATTTAACGGCTTCGATTGGTTAACCGTTTCTAACCAATCGAAGTGTTTAAATTCAAGCAATAAAATTAATATCGTATCAACGTGTCGTCGGATAACGGATGCATGAAAATTAAGCTTAAGAGCTAGCAACGTTTTCGAGAAAGTATTTTAAGACGGCTGGCTCATTGATATATCTTTTACTATGCTCTCTGGAACAGAATGCGGCCCGTCTGACTGCCGATACCCGTTGCGTTCACTACTGCGCATCGGAAGAAGATCCTATATTTTTTTTAAATCTATCTAGTCCTATCTAGAGGAATCTAGTCCTATAAATTCTAACATAATAATAAACACATAATTCGAACTATACAGAAATCTGGAAAAACACTAACAGCCTTGTCTTGCATCATGCCAAACATTGGGGGACCAAGATCCTCCAAAAGAAAAATATTAGGTAGCATAATACACTCTCAAATACTCTATGCGGCTCCATTCTGGCACACCATAACGAGTAATAAAAGCAGAACAAAAAAACTCGCGGGGATCCAAAGACTTACTTCCATCTGAATTGCAAGTGCCTACAGAACAATCTCTACAGAGGCAGTAGGCGTAATAGCAGGCGTCCCACCCATAGACCTATTAATAGAGGAAAGGAAGGAAATATATAATGGAGTACACAAGCAAATCGCAAGAGGGGACCTACTCGACAAGTGGCAGGAAAGATGGGTGAGAGGAACAAAAGGAAGATGGACATATAATTTGATTCCTGATATTAGGCAATGGATATCCAGGCCATGCGGAGAGACTGATTACTTTGTCACGAAAGGTCTATCGGGATATGGTTGCTTTATGAAGTATCTAACGGAAAGAAAGAAACGGGACTCAGATAGTCGCAACTACTGTGGAAATAGTGATGACGCAGAACATACACTGTTTAGATGTACGAGATGGGACTACATTCGTAATGATTATAAACTCTGCTACCGGCTCAGTTTTCAATGCGGAAAATATGATGAAATACCTCACTGGGACAGAGGAAATGTGGAAACTAACTGCAGGGATACTAAGACAAATATTAGAGGAAAAGGAAAATTATATAAGAAGACAGTAAACAGACACAACTATCATGGCGAAGTAATGCGGAAGCGGTTTCCACCATGATCAGCGTTAGGAAGTGTGTGGGTTTTTTAGCCGGTAAGAACTGGCAACTACCCGGCACTAAGGACAGTAGCTTTATTGTTATATGCAAGATTCTCTTCCCACAGAATAAAAAAAAGATGATGTCCCATCTGATTACATTCCTTGGGCCAGTGTTAAGAGCTCCAATAGCTACATGCTAAATAAGATTGAGGATAGGCAACACATGTGTTTTAGACCCTTTTGTTATTAGGAATTCCTTTTGAAATATATTCCACTGATAATATTATCTTTATGCTCTTATTGAGATAAATTCAATATTAATACCTTAATAGATCGATATACCGGCAACGCCGGTGACAAGCTCTCCGTGACGTATGACGGCAGACGTATAAATCACGGATTCGATGCGATGGAAGCGGACGCCGGCAGAAAAAAGACGTTCGTGGGACGACTGTCGTCCGGCTGAGTTATTTACCGAAGGACGGGCCGACCGGTAGAACGCATATTGGCCGAGCTGACCACGTCCTAAGAAGGAAGGACAGTAAATTATCGATGGGGGAATTGGACAGTTAAATGATAAAATTGTCAGTAGATTCAATAATATCCAAAGCTCATTTTTTTGATTTATCGTTTTTGCGGCTTCGTTTTTTTTTCTGTTACGATCTAAAGATAGAAACGGGATATTAAAAATATATCAGATGAGAGTTGGGACTGTGTCAAATATTTAACATGGGAATGGGATGTAAAATTATTTATAGGTTTAGTTTATTGTCGGGATTGGAGATATAAGAAGAGGGTCTGAAATAATAAAACAACCTTCGGTAAAAGGGTCATAGGTTCGTTTATTAATTTAACAAGTTAGAAAATATTTTTGGCTATAAAGGCAATTGTATGAACAGTCTTACGAAAGTCGGGATCAATTGAACGATATTTGATTGATATAAATTTCAGAACAGAGAACAGAAACTTATTTCTATTGTTTCAACCACGTTAAACTATTTTTCTTGTATTCACATAGAACGGCCGAATTTTGTGTATATTTCCATAATGTGACAAGGAAAATAATTTAGCCCATTAGATTGAATTATATATATATATATATATATATATATATATATATATATATATATATATATATATATATATATATATATATATATATATATATATGCTGCTGTAATATATATATATATATATATATATATATATATATATATATATATATATATATATATATATATATATCACGCAACGAGTGCTAACAAAATATATTACGTATAAATGAATGAATGAACCTAACCAACTGCCCAGTTTTAAAAACCGAATTACGCATTATACTTAACTTAAAACAATTAAATGAATTAGCGTAATTCAATTCGCTAAAGCTTTATTCCTTTGTAATATCAAATTAACCAGGTTGATTGTAATGATCGGTTGATGCAAAATATCCGTCAAATACAAGTTCATAATAGAGTAGAAATGTCAAATATTGAAGTTTCCCAAAGTTCAATATTCTTCGTATAGGATCTTTATATTTTGCTTGATTTGCCATTATAAAGGAGTTTAACGATTATTATATTCCAAAATATACCTATAAATGACCTGTTTAACTGGTGAGACAGTATTTTTGATATTGAATAACATATAATTGACAAACGAAACAGAAAAACTACCCTTTTGCGCTGGTTACTTTGGGGACAATGATGACAAATGTTATTCAGGAACCATGTTCCCAAACATTCAAAATTTCAGGTAAAAGTAACGGAAATAAGTAATTCCGTAAGTTTACATATTCCTTAAGAAACTGTTTGATTTATTTTCTAATGGCAGTGTTGTTGTCGGAGTCTGTGATCGTTTCCTGCAACAATCCCTGTTCTCTCAATATAACAGTACATAAATGGCGACGTTAGTTTGGACTGCCTTGGTCTGGGGTTGCAGCAAGAACCGAGCAGCTCTTGTTCGATTTCCCACATATTTATTAAAATGGAACTGCCTGGTTATTGCCATCTCTTGAATTAGTGTCTGTATACGGCATAGTTTGTACAACGGCTTACTGTACAATGATTCAAAAACTAACTGAAAATGGCAGCTCAGCGCGAGCCAAGTGCTGGTATATCAGTGAAACTATCGCCAGCTACTGACTACGTATAAATCTGCCATTTGGATTTGTTCTATGGATATGTTGAACATTGAATATTTGTATAACCAAACTAGTGACATGTAAGATTTTGTTATGACGTATGACATTGTCACTTTTTAGTGTAAATAATCAATGATAATATAGTCTAATAATGTTTCAGTTAATAGTGTGTTTGGTTAGTGTTTTTACCTTATCAGCCAGTCGAGAACGTCTAGTTATGCATGGTAAGTAAATTATATTATAGACAAATAATGTTTATTATATTAGCTTTCCTTAATTTTAAAATAATTCCTTTAATAGTACTTTTTGTAAAAATTTGTTTATTACCATCAGGAGAATGTTCATTCCTATTACTAATAATAAGAATGTAGCTATACATAGATATAAAAAGAATAAGGGATAATAATAGAGGATTAATGAGTTTAAAAAAAATCTTAGTGGAAATCAATTAGAGAGCTACATGATAATATGTGAAATGTTGTAGGTGATATTTCAGAAAGTGATGAGCAAATGCACGACCAAGACCAAAACTCGCTAGATCTTGGTCTTGAAGGGTCCAGTCTTGGTCTTGCTGAAATACTCTTGCAGTCAGTCTTGCACTTTTTAATGGATTATTATTTACTAAAGGCACTTCCTACATAGAAGATCTTTAAATAAATAGTATTTTAAGTCATTGAATGGCAAATGAAACTTTTTTAAGAAAAAATCAATTTTTGTCCGATGAAAATTTGTATTTCTCAATATACAGGGTGGTCCGAATTTAAATCGAGAAATATCGTCAATATATTTTGCAGATAAAATAAGTAAACAAATTTCTGTAAATCTGTGTCTTAAAATGCTTCGTTCAGAGATACAGTGTGTAGGAGAAAGAAGATTCATTTTATTTCTTTTTTTATAATTCCTGAACTAACGTCGATATTTAGATCAAAATTGATGTCTGGGTTCTGTTGAACCTTGGACACAAAAAATCCAAATTTATTACTTCAGTCTAAGAACCATCTAGTCTACATGTTTATTTTTTACTTTTGCCAATAGGCCCTTTTTTGCGTAGAAAACGCCGAAAATGTATATTTTTTTCTGGGTAGCGTATTACAGGCACGGACGAAAAGTTATTACTCTTCAAAACAGTTAAAAAACATGGTGGTCGCGCCAGCAAAATCAAATTTCTCATGTAAAAAAAATCCAGAATCCAATTTTTATCGACATATCGACGTCAATTAGATGAATTATCAGAAATTATGTGGAAAAAATAAAAATGAAACTTATGCACCCTGTATCTCTGAAACGAAACATTTTAGGACATACATTTATACGAACTTTTTTACTTATTTTTATTTGCAGAATGCGTTGGTTTGGTTGTTTTTCAAGTTTCCCAATTACAATTCGAACATATGTATGTATCAGCATTATTTTTTTTGCTAAAGTCACGAAAATGCTACTTGCAATAAACTGAAACAATAATTTTGAACCAAGTGTTCTTCTTGAGGTGCCTCTCATCCATGACATCTGTCTTGTGCCTGTATCTGGCTTCCCTTCAGTTTTACCTTTGATAATAATGTGTAATATATTGTATTTGGTGTTCCTGAGAATATGACCAAAGTATGCTGATTTTCTTTTCTTTATTATATGTTGAAGCTCTTTCTGTTGGTTGTAATGTATATATACGGAGTCATTTAACATGTGCTCCGTCCATAATATCTTCAGCATCCGACGAAATATCCACATTTCAAAGACTTCGATCTTTCTCATTGTAGTCACTTTCAGGGTTCAGGATTCCATTCCATATGAGGGCACAGAATAAATGTAGCACTTGTCCATACGATATCGGATGTTCAATGTTAGGTCTAGGATGATTTAATTTTAAGGAATGCGCTTCGAGAATTTTTTCTGAACCAATAAGTAACTTTTTCATCATAAAATAATAATTTCAATATTGTAAAATAGAAAGATAAGAAGCGATGGCTTACATAACCGAAACCCATTGAATAGATATCCTAATAAACACAATAGACAAGGACAGATGAAAATCCACAATGAAGTTATTCATATGCAGAGAAAAATATTCAGATTTTCCACCTTTATCACAGAATACGCTGAATTATGTTAAAACATATTAAACTCGATGTTACGCTTCATCCGTATTAATTGCAGATTGTACTGTAACGAATTGAAGATGATCGCGATACCAAACCAAATATTCAAAGTCAAATATCCATCAATCGTAATCTAAATGGCGAGACGTACTTGCGGCTTTTAGAGAAGCTTATTCCAAATAATTTATAGACTAATACTGTATACCAACATTGCAGGAATTATAAAGAAATAATATATTCCAAATTTTTATACAATGTCAGGTTTAGTCTGAGATAATTTTACGTACTCCTATTAAAAAAATCTGTTGACAGTGTGTGTCAACCAGTTTTAGAACAATACAAATATACTTTTATATTTCTACATTTCGTTTCAGACATCGAATATTACGTATTTAAACAAAGTTGAATAGATGTAATCAATCTGTGTTTGTTCTATCGATCACTTTTGTTGATATCTCCAGGAAAAAAATGGGGAAAAGAATGAAGGAAATAGGATGAACCGAGAATATTTTCCTTACAAATAACTTTTGTGCCCGGTCAGATCGAGACATAAAGCATCAAACTTTTCTCCATTATTTTTATACGCCCTTAGGGTGCTCGGCAAATTTTTTCCTTCACTTCTTCCGTGTTTCGCTATCATGTCGTCGGACGTAGGGTGGGATTTCTATCCAATTATTTCTACGGTAAAACCGTATTAGTCGGTTTCCAATAATAAACGTGCAGCATTTTCCGCATTTCTTTTTATATTTTCAACTATTGGAATTATTTATGAGTTTTTTTTGGATTTTGCGAAAAACCTTACTTAAACAACCTTATTGTAAAAGAGTATAGTCCTAAGTAAATCGTGGAATAATATTAACGTGGGTCAAATATGTCAATAAACATTAATGTCAAATTTATTGATTTAGAGATAGATAGTGTTTGTTGAATTCGGGCATGATTAGACGGCATATGAGACCGTATACCATATGTTACATCGTCGACCTAAACATAGGAAATCCCATGCAAATTTTAAAAATGATGATGAAGTTTTCTCCATTTTATTTTGGTTTAGTTTGGTTTATATATAAAAATTTAAAAAGTCGTTTTTACTCCGAGTAGAACATGCTACTTTTTTTTAAACGTTCACAAATAATTAAAAAAAATTGCAAACTCTGAAAATTAGTATGCCTAAGCACAAAATTACAAAATAGCTATTTATGTAACATGGTGAGAAATGAATGTGCTTTAAGCACGGGACGCAAAATTGTCCAAAGAGGCGAAAGCCGAGTTGGACAATGCGTCGAGTGCTTAAAACACTCTTTTCGCAACGAATATCAAAAGAAAAGCGGATAATTTGAGATTTTCATGCTATTATTATTATTTATTTTTAAACCTTTTTTAAAATGTTCTGGTAATCGGTTTCTAAGGCATTGTTTATGCTTTGTTTAATGTTGTTTAATGACTAAGTTCTGCCAGGTTCAAACGTCGCCGTATTTCCTACAAAGTTTTGTGAAATAATGAGTGATAATGACGAGTCTTTTTATATTCAACCAGCCGCTGAAACTGCGCTATCCACGTTAGTGCCCAAGAAGTCGAAAAATGAGTCTCTTATACGAGACCACCTACAACAACTTTGAAACCTGGGTCAAAGAAAAACATGTTGAGGATCACAGAAAAGGTATTGCTAGCCTTTTTCCTGAAGTTACCCACTACCTTAAAGCCGTCAACTCTGTGGAGTAAATATTCGATGCTCCGTACCATGATTTACCTGAACAGAAACGTAGATATTAGCAAATTCACAAACCTTATTGCATTTTTAAAAAGAAAAGCTTCCGAATATCAGGCAAAGAAATCGAAAGTATTTACAAAACTGGAAATAGAACGCTTTATGAAAGAAGCCGATGGCAAAGAATTCCTGTTAGCTAAAGTTGTCTTAATCATTGGAGTATTTGGAGCATGTAGGAGGGAAGAAATCACGTTTTTGACCGTAGATTACTTATTGAATTAATTATTTCATTAAAGATTGTCAGTCATTTATTAGTGTAAGATTCCGAAAACAAAAACTCATTTTCCAAAAGTGTTTACGATTACTGAGGGACCAATAGATGGTATCAATTTCTTACATGCATTTCGTAAGTACGCAAAACTTCGACCACTCAATGTGACATATCAGCGATTTTTCTTGACGTATAGAAAAAATCAATGCTGTGCCCTGCCAGTTCGAATCAATACAATTGGGGGTATTCCAAAAAAGATAGCGGAATTTCTTGGACTCTCCAACGTCATTGAATACACTGATCATTGTTTCCGGCGCAGCTCTCCAACAATGCTGGCAGATTCAGGAGGACATAACAGTTTTAAAGCGACATGGAGGTTGGCGATCAAGCTCGGTTGCTGAAAGTTACATTGAAAATTCAATTGAACAGAAAATCGAAATAGCAAAAGGAATCATGGGACAGAAAGATACGCCAAATAAGAAATTAAAAGCAGTTCACGTAGAAGCAGAAGCTACCAGTATTGCCAGTACAAGAAATTTACTTATTCCGACTCCTACAACTTGCGTTTCTCTTATAGACGAAAAGTTGGATGCCTCTTGTATTCACTTTAATAATTTAAATAATTGTACCTTTAAGATTTATAATAAATAAATATTTTCATTGTTTCTAACGTTTTATTTTTTACTTTTAGGCACTAGTGCCTAAACAAGTGTCTCTTTTAGCTACTAGTGCCTAAAAGAATGTAATTTCGAATCTCAAATAAATATCAAAAACTGTCAATTTCGAAACGCTTTCACAAAAATATATTATTAAACTGACATGAAGTGTCAAATTCCAGAGCGTAACCATAGTTTCTCGATATACAATTACCTACAAGGTATTATTTTTAAATGTTTTCGTATTATTTGTAACGTTTGAAAATGTTTAAAAAATTGTTTGAAAAAAATATAATGTTCTATTCGGAGTAAAAATGACTTTTTGTGGCTCCCTGTATGCCAGTCAAACGAATAGCCTCGCCACAAAAAAAATGTAATTTTTACTCCTAATAAAACAATATACTATTTGGCAACGTTAACGTCAATTTGACACTAAAAATTGACTTTGAAGGTGGCATGTTTGGTATGTTTGTTTGACCAGGGCCGGATTAAGTTT